CTTAACCGACTGAGACACCCAGGTGCCCCTTGGTCTCTCCTCTTTGGGTTTCACTGGAAAGCTGGAGTTTTATGGACTCTTCTCTGTTTTTTTGGCTTCCTCCCACAATTGCACCTCCCACAACTGGAGCCAAATTATGGGACGACTGAAGGAGGCAAGAAACATCTTGCCTCACCCTCTCTCAAGACCATAGTTACTCTGATTGGAGAAGTCTCCTCCCTCAGAATTTGAGGCATATGGGTCCCTGTTGGCCCAGTCTCCACTGCAAGATTGCCTGGGAGATGGATCATGAGACAATGGAGAAAAGATTAAAAAAGAAAAGAAAACTTGTTTTCCATCACTCACGTTGAGCTTAAGGGGTCTCCTCTCCTGATCCTCAGGTCAGGACTAGAGAGATTCTTTGGGAGCTCTCTCTGTGTTGATTTCCCAATTCCAGATTTGGGCTGTCTCGAGATTAGGCCAGGGGATACCAGAGGAAACAAAAATGATAAATTTACTAGTTCACTGGTACAGAAAATTCTGGCTTTCTTCCCCAATTTGCCTGGTAGTGTCTTCTCGTCAGAATCCACAAGTAGCTGCTACTCATTCAGGTTTTATCGCTGCATTCCGTAGGAGCAGTGTGTTTACCCAGAACTGGAACCAAAATTGCTTTTGAAACAGCAAATTTAAATATTTCCCAAATAGTATCAAACAAAACTACTAATTTCTTTAGAATAATTTGTTTATGCTTGAAACCCTCATTTGTTGTAATTTACATTATGACTAACTACTGGCTCTCTTCTCCATCACATGCTAAGGAGAGAATTCTTCACCAGATAACACCATCCCACGTGGAAGTAATGCGGGTGGAGGTGCTTTCTTGATTGGGGAAGTTCCTTGTGGAGGTTTCTGGGAAATGTAGTCTTCTAAGTACCAAGCCACCACCTCCCCCCACCAAAAACCCCACACAAAACAAACAAAAAACATGGGGACAGACAATAATTTTTTAATGAGGATCTTAGAAATTATCTCTTGACAAGCAAACTAATTGCATGGCTTTCTTTGGTTTTGCTTTAAATGTAAAGAAGTCACTTAAATAATTTAAGTGGGCCTTAGGGCAGATAAAACTTATGCATTAACTTGCTAATACAGCATTAGTTTTTTGTTTTTTGTTTTTGTTTTTGTTTTTGTTTTGTTTAGACAGCAGACCTTATTTCAAATGGCTTTTTCAACTACAATTTCCTATTCCTGCTACAATTGCTCTGCCATATTTTTCCACAAAGCATAATATAATGGTGGCCATCTGATAGGAAAATTCAATTTAATGGAATAGAGGGGGAAATAGAGCCAAAAAAATTTATAGGCATATGTTTCAAAATTATAGGCATTGTTATAGAGTGGTGGATTTACCCCAAATTTGAGCTCCAGAAAAAGGTTTAACTTTGAAAAGTAACACTAAATTTAAAGCAACTGTTTTTTTCATGTACATTATAAATATTAACTATTTCTCACCAGGCCAGTCCTGCAGAGTCATGATATAAAATTGGTAAAATCACTATACAAATGCTTCTCCATCAGCTTAGGTAGAGGGTACCAAGTTCAGCCTCACCAAGAGTAGACAGAGATTTAAGGATATAAGAGTTTTAGGAGACCAGGATGGCATCAGGCCTAGTGTTCTTAGGGAAGACGGGGCCCTGGCACAATGTATGCTTGCTCTCTCTCTCATTTAGTCCATATTTACTGAGCACCTGATTATGTGTTAGGCACTGGGAATATAGCAGGGTTCCTTCCATCATGGCACGTACGTTCTAGTGGGGGTGACAATGACAAATGGTATGTATACAATATGTTAGCTGGAAATACAGCAACACTAGGGCAAAGGGAGTAGGAGAGGAGGAAATCACTATGTCATGTAGGGTGCTCAAGGTCCCTTTGTCTCCTGTGGTCCCCTTGTCTCCCTTACAATAGCAGATGGAACACAGAGGGACAAGGTGTATAATGAACGTTTAATTTAGGTTGTGATTATCTTTCCATGTTTTCAAAGATTCACCATCTTAATACTTCAAAGACAAACGTGACTTTTCAGATATTTAAGATTCTTGCCATCATTTTTCTTCATAGCCCAAATGCTGTTCGCATTAAATAAGCAACCTGGTACTCAGATGTGAAAAATGAGGGAGTGAAAAATGTTCCGAATGGAATCCAGATGCCATTACTATTTAGCATAAGCCGGCAGCGTGCCTGGAAGTGAGATCGGTATCATCAATCCATGTTGCAGGTGAGGAAACTGAGGACCAGGGACGTGCAGGGACTTGCCCAGGATCACACAGCCTGTCAGTGGACAGACAATGTGCTTTCCTCTCGGCCACAATGCCCAACTCTAAACACAGGCTGGCTGTACACAGTAGGTGGGACAGGACCCCACCCCGTGCGTGCTCGCGCCCCCACTCCCGCACCCTCTGAGGCAAGATGCAAACTATCTCTTTAAGAAGGAAAGTGAAGACGGGCCGCTTACGCAGCTGCCAGCGAGCCGCCCACTGGCTGGTCCCTTCCATCCACCTCACCCTCCCCTTTCCTCCCTCCCGGCAGCCCCAGCCCTGGCGAGCCGCCTCCAGCAGGGGCTCCGGAGAGCAGGTCGGCGGCCTGGGCAGGGCAGCCGAAGCCATGGAAGCCTCGGCAGGTGATGACAGCGACCCCGGGGACCTCGGGGCCCACCGCCCAGCTGCTCCCACCGAGTGCCGAGTGCGGGTGGGGGGAGGGGAGGCGCGGGCCGCGCCGGGGAGCAGACAGGACCGAGCGCCCGGCAGGCAGCCTGCCCTCCAGGCTTTCTGGCTGCGGCGGCCCAGCTGTCAGCTGCGGGGGGCTCGGGTGTCCCCGCCCGCGTTCACCCGCCCCTGTCTGTGCGTTTTCCCCCCTCCGCCGCAGGTTGCTGATCCGGGCCAGACAGCTGCAGCCGCGACTGCAGAGGCGCTGCGCCAAGCGGGGCCGGAGCGGTGCGAGCCGGCGGGGGCTGCGGAGCGCCAGCGGACTCAGGTGAGGAGGCCGCGGCCGAGCCCGGAGGGGGCCCTTCGCTGCACCCGGCGGGCGGGCGGGGGCCGCTGGCGACCGCCCGCTGCGGTAGAATCCCTCAGAGGGCATCGGCCGAGGAGGGGTTAACTGTGACTCATTCTTACCCTCCCTTCATTCCCCCCCACCACCACCCCGCCCCAAACCCGTGAAAATCACTAATTACAGGATGCTGGTTGCAGCGGGGAAGATGCCCAAGGTGGGCGATTAGGAGAGGTCTAGGGACCGCCCCGTTCCTAAATGTCTTCCTCTTTCAGCATTTGGCAAATATTTAAGCCCCTTTCCTTTTTTGAGGAGGAGCAAGCGTACCTAGGGGTGGGAGACGGGTGGAACCCCACACCCAACCCAAGGTCAAGTGCCAACGACTGCTTCTTTACCACATTCCCCCCTGAGAAGCGTCAGGGCCCTGCAGTAGGTCTGGAAAACATGCCCATGACCCCTGAAGCAGGAGATCTGCGTCTGTCTCTCTGGACCCTCCATGGGGTAGGATGCTCTCTCCTTCCGCTCAGCAGAACACCTACTAGCCTGGTAAGCCCCAGATTCTCTTCCTCAACCCTGCAGACGGACTGAGGAGAGGCCTGGTCACACAGCTGCCTGTTTCCTCTGCCTTCTCTGCCCATCTGGCGGTGTGGGATGGGCTGCAGGAGCTTATCAGGAAAAGGTGATCTCTGCAGGCAGGGTGGTGTAGGGAAAGTGCCAGAGATTCGGGTTGTAGTCCCTTAGCTTGCTAGTAGGCCACCAGTAGCCATCTTAAAATTCTTTAGGCGTGGGTGTCTGTCTGTTCATCTGTTAAATGCAGGAGTTGGATTAGATGGTCTGTGTGGTTGTCACATGCCACTCAGGTAGCTCTGACATGTCAGGGATCTCTCTACCAGAGCAACCCAGAATTTAAACTTGGGTTTATGAAATAATTGGGGTTTCCTCAATTGGTCTCTTTCAACTGTGGACTTCTCCAGTGAAACATGACCTTGTGAGCCTCGTGGAACCGGAGGCATCAGACAGTCCTATATTGATATCCCTACGCTGTCACTGGGGTGACCTTCCTCGAGTTACTTCCCACCCCCAAGCTTCAGTTTCCTCATCTGCACATCTGGGAAGAGGCATACATGCCTGAGTAGGTCGATGGGATGATGAAATGAGATGTATATGAAAGCACCTAAAATAGTGCCTGTGCCTGGCACATAGTAGGTTTTCAGGGACTCAGGACTTGAGAGATAGACTGGAGGAAGAGGGGAGGGGTGGCTGCTTTTAGCCTCTTCTCTCCCCCTCCCCCACCCTGCCAATCTCTTCCACATCCCTGCGGATGGCGTCCCTGCCAGGGGATAATGAATGCTGGAGTGTGTTGGGCTGAGGGCCTAGGAAGCAACCAGGAGGTACAAACATTTCCACTGCAAGGGCTGTGACATCATTCTAGCGAATGATGGTCCCAAGGAGGCATATATACCCCAGCACTGGGTTTGGAAAATCTTGGCATCTGAGGGCAAAGTCCCTAAGGGACAAGAAGCATCAGAATCTTGTGTGCTGGTAGGGGTCAGGGGCCGAGGCCTCCTGATTCCATACGGGTGCTGTTGCTGCTCCCTTGCCCTCCCTGGAGTCTCCCACTAGAACCTCTCTGAGACAGGCAATGGAGTGTTTGGTGTCTGGACTTTCTATTCTTTGTTTTTCCTCCTGCTGTCCTTTTCAGCCTAGGCCTCACCCTTTCTTGCTCCCATTTATTCCACAGATACACTGTGCCCCTTGGCAGCGTGATAAAGAAGGCTCCCCATAGGCTGGGGCAGGGCATTTTGTGGCTGCATCATTTGGGCCAAGTGAAGTTATGTCCCCACCTGCCCTAAATCCCCGTTAGATCGTGAACTCCTCCCAACAGAGGCCTCATCTTTGTCCTCTCCGTCTCTAACCTCTAGCCTGTGGCTAGGTACAAAGTAGGTGCTCAGGAAGTGTTGAATAAGTTTGAGGCAGTTATGCCCCTAAGCCAACGAGGTTAGGGAGAAACTGGAATGTGCTGACGTTTGTAGGAAAAACACTGTTAAGCACAGGGCACTGTGCAGGTTGTTGGTTGCCATTATTATCACTGTTAATTACTAATACTGTTATTATTGCTATTGCCAGTAGCCAGCAATTGTTTTACCTTCTCCTCAAGGCTGGAAGGGGCCCCGTGTGCCTGGGAGAACTGTGACGTTGGCAAACAGATAGCGCTGGCTGGTTTCAGATGAGTGTGAAAGGAAGAGGGTTGGAAAGAACGTGACTCTTCCCTCGCTGTGCTGGGGGGTGGGGGGCGGGGAGGGATGGGAGGAACAGATGAGGAGAATCGAGTGGGCCAAAATGGACATGCGGTAGAAAATCCGGAGACCCCAGCCCTGGCTCTCACTCCACCACCGCCCCATTGTGTGACCTTGGCCAACCACGACCTCTGGGTCCCCGGCTATAACATGACAGGACTGGGCTCCTGGATCCTTAAGGCCCTTTCTGGTTTGGACATTTTATCGCGTGCATTTGGTTAAATAAAAATGGGACAAGTATTATTACTCTTAGTATCATCTATGGAGTACCAGGCCATTACCTACCTCAGGTGATCCTCATAACAAATTATACCTATTTGAAGGACGAGGAGCCCAAGGCTTAGAGAGAGTGACTGCCAAGATGGCACAGCCAGGAAGGGCAGCCTGTTACCTGACACCAGGTCTGTCTGACCCGGAAGAGCATGCTCTTCCAAAGGTTTCGCTGTCTCCACATACATACCTTGCCGCCATCCCTGTGAGTTGTATGTGCTCTTGGGCGGAGATCAGGCCCTTCCCCCAAACTGATGACTGCAGGGAACTTGCTGCTTGAACTTGTGTATAGGTCGGGGCTGGGAAGACTTCCCTTCACCTTGAGCTCTGCTCTGCTGATGGGTGGTGGGTGCCCTTTCCCTGAGGAGAAGGGCTGGTCATGAATGACAGTCACAACAGACACGCTTTTTGAGTGCTCCCTGTGTGCTGTGCTCTGTTTTATCCCTGAGACAATCCCATTATGGTTTTTACCCATTTCACAAAGAGAAAGCCAGGGCAGAGAGACAAAGAGCCTTGCCCAGAGTTACACAGCTAATGTGTTGGAGAGGCTGAGAAAGAGCTGGAAGCGCACCGTACTGAGAGTCAACAGGGTTGCTTCGAGTCTGAGCCCTCTTGTTAACTGAATAACTTTGGGTAAGCCAGTGTCCCTCTGAAAATCGGCGTTCCCATCCTGCAGATGGACTGGATGCATCTGTGGGCTCTAAAAGAACTAAATGCCACCTTGTCGCAGAATAGAGGTGGGAGGGCTTCCTTGTCTAGCTAAACATGGCTCAGCGTTTGTTTATGGTTTCTTAGCCAGGCCCTGGGCTAAGTGCATGGGGTACAGGAAAGAGGAAGAGGTGATCCCTCATTTCAAGAAACCGATGTCTAAGTAGGAGACAAACATCTAAACATGTAGGTGTGATAAACCGTCTAGGAGCTGGGTTGTGGACTGATAATGGTATATAGAGGGGTGTCGGAGAGGGGAGATGATCTTTCCTGTTCAGTGGATCAGGAAGGCTTTATAGAGATGATGCTGTCGTCGTGTCCTTGTTTTCTGAATTGAGTTTGTGAATCCGCATCATCCTCATCCATCCAGCTTTAGGGCAGTTCCAAACTGTTTTAAAGATATGTTGGCTTTTGGGGCGCCTGGGTGACTCAGTCAGTTAAGCATCCGACTGCAGCTCGGGCCATGATCTCGCAGTCTGTGAGTTCGAGCCCCTCATCAGGCTCTGTGCTGACAGC